CCTCCGCCCCGTCTGCTGTCCCCTCCGGGTCTCCGGGCGCCTGGACCTTCCCCCGGGGGACCCTCTCTTCCCTCCTCGGGCCTCTCCTTCCCCATTCCCCGCAGGCGCACCCCCATCGGCGCACCCCCCATCGCCCTCCGCGCGCTCGCGCTTTTCGCCGCTTAGCCGGCGCCGTTGCTCTCACTCGCGTCCTCTCGCTGCGGACCCCGACTGGTCCCGCACCCCCGAGTCGGACCCGTGTGCAGGTAGCGCCAAGGCGAGGCAGGGGCTCAGGGCTAGTGCAGAAGCTTCCTGGAGCTTTTCGGGAGGTGACGGAGTCTGTTATAAAAATAACTGCCGCCTCCCCCCAGCTCCTTGAAGACACTAGGGGCCGGAGGTGAGCGGTGGGACTTCTACCCAGGCAGCTGGGAAAGGTCTTTGGGAGCTGGAGGAGGGAGAGCCTGCTGTCCGTGAGGTTTGCTCCAGCATAGCGCCTCCAGCTAGTCATCTGAACATCCACCCCCCCCCCCCCCCCCCCCATTTGACTCGTGAGCCTAGAATCGTTTTCTTTTTTCCTCCCGCAAAGGAATGGCTGAACAGCTCCATACTGGGCGTTTGGTCGATTGTCATTCAGGAATTAGTGAAGCTGAGCGAAGTTGCCTGTAAGCAACTTAAAAATTGTTGTGGCTGTGCTTGGGGGAAATAGAGCCACGCATTCAGGTGAGAGGAGAACTCGGAGGTTATGGGATTCAGCTCTTGAGGCCAGTGCCTTCATCCTCTGCCCCATCCTTACCCCATGGGACTTGGTTGGGGGGGTTGTTTTGAGGAAGGGCTTATTTCATTATTTGCAATTCCAATAGTCAGACTGCTTTTGTATGTATTCAGAAGGCATTGTCTCCATCCAACATGTACCCCTGGTCTGGCTTCTGCTAGGCCCATGAGAGGTGTGCATGTGACAGCCTTTCAAGTAGAGATGTACCTCAATTTAGGTTGGGAATTACATCCCAGTAAACACATCGTTAAAAAAAAAAAGGCATTAAGCTCAACCGCCCTAAGTTGGAGACCATCTGTATTTGGAAAAAGTCTCTTTGTGTACCTTGTAAGAGTTCTGGTTTTAAAGTTGAGAAGGCTTATGTTTTTGTATCATTCTGCCCAAAGATAGTGTGGTTTTGGGGCATTTTCCCCAGTTCGTCGTCCACATTTATTGCTTTGTCCATATTCACCTAAAGAAGTGACATCCAAGTTGGAACATGGTCCTCCATGCATGGCCTGGAATCGCAACCCTCCATGATCATAGTCTCATGTTTGTGCTGACAAAGCCACAGTCATGGCCTCCTCTGTTGTCAATTCCGAGACCTTCCCATGCCTGCTGCCACTAGCGAGTCTTCCTTGTGTAACCTGGCAGTTGGTTTTGGAAGAGCAGGGAAGTTAGCCTGTTGGTCTGTGGCTAGTATTAATACTACAGAATGGTGAATTATATTAAGAATTACAGCAAAAACAACTTGCAGAGAATAATCAAATGTGGCATCCTAAAAATTATTTCCTGCCATTACTTTGAAAAATTGGATTTGACTGACTGTTGGTGAAATCCAGATGAAAGTGATAAGATTTGGTTTGGCAAAGGTATCTGAGTTGGTTATTGGTGTTTTTGGGCACTTCATGACTGATCACATCCATGGTCAGTTGTAAGCAGTGATGGTTTCCAGTGGGAGGTAGTGTTAGATTACCAGGCGAAGCTAATCATATATATCAGACCCCACAGATGTACACATGTATCTTGCCAATGGCAATAGGTAGGATTATCCCATAGTTAGAAGGTTACCAACATGTTGTGTGGTAAAGAATGTTGCTCTGTTGAGAACTTTTTTTTTGTTGAGTTGGAGTCTCACTCCGTTTCCCAGGCTGGAGTGCAGTGGCATGCTCATAGCCACCCACTGTCGACCCGCTGGGCTTAGGCGATCCTTCCGCCTCAACCTTCCAAGTAGCCGGAACTACAGGCACGCGCTACCATGCCTGGCTAATTTTTTGATTTATTGTAGAAATGAGGTCTCGCCAAGTTGCCCAGGCTGTTCTCAAACCTGTGGGCTCCGGCAATCCCCTCACCTTGGCCTCACAAAGTGCTGAGATTATAGGCTTGAGCCACTGCTCTTGGCCTGTTGAGAACTTGTAAAAGCTGCATTGGTGTGGCATAAAAAACATAGGCCTTTAGCCAGGCAGTCCTGGATTTGAATTCACCCCGCTCCTCACAAACTGGCTATGTGATCATGAGCAAATATACTGTTCAGCCCCAGTTTGCTTTATAATGATGTGAAGTTTTGATAAAGTTGTGACTGGCAGGTGTACTTGTAAAAGGGTGGTAACTATTTATTACTAAAAACCTGTAATTTTGATATGGTATTAGCTTATGAACTGAGGAAAAGGTCAACATAAATAACAGGTAGAAAATAAAAGGTAGAAAACTAAACATATCCAATATACAGTTTGAGGGTACCATCTAAAGATAAAATGAGGGAATTGAGATAGAATGATAGAATATTACATATAGGCTTTGGGGTGAAAAGGTGGCTTTCCTGCTCCAACACAGAGTATGATATGTGATTTCCAGCTCTTCTCCTAAGTAGACCCTTAAGCATCGAAACACATGACTACACTTAAAAGCAGTGACCCAAATTTTAAGATGACTAGGCTAGACTAGGGGTGTAGCCTGAGAACTAAGTGGTTTATCCAGATTAAGCTTGGCCTCATTAGGACTTAATTCCGTCTAAGTTAACTGGCCATGGACCTTATCTAACCAGGGGTCTGAAACAACCTTAGCAGGGTGTGAGAATTTAATGATTGGACCATCCTAGTTATTTGAAAAATCTGACTTTCAGCTCTAAATCTTGATGATGAAGATTGACCGTTCCACGATAGAATGGAAGAGAATTTGTACCAAGCCATACATACCTTTCACATATTTGTTTGCCTGGTGTAAGAAACTGACGATTGACCTATGTGATTATTTTCATGACTGGGAAAACCTCTCCCACCACTGTCTTCAGTTGTATACATGGGTGTCTCTGGAATCTCTCTCCCTGGCATTTCTTTATGAGCCTCACTCTGCCATTAGAAATCCAGATAGTTGTAAGGAGGAAAGCAAGTATGCACTTTAGAGAAATTATAATAGGTTGTTATGAAGGTTGTCATGCTTCAGACAATGTGTCGGTCTTCATGAGGTGTGATGGTCTTTTTTCTTCAACAATTTATATCAGATGTTTTGTAAAGTGTTTCTTATGTGTAGTAAAGCCATTACTTTGAAAAAGTTACATGGGGTAAGTATAAAATTGGAAAATTAGGAAGAGGAAGACTTCTCCAGATGAAAGAGCATTTTTCTGTGAATTAGATGAAGGTACATTATGTTTTAATAGTTGGGCTCAGAGTGGACACACATACTTTTTCTTGAAGGCTGTTTGGGAAAAGGTAAGAAATGTACTTTTATTTTTAAAGAACTGGAAAAGCTGCACAGCAAGCAGTTTAGTAGGCATGTGGGAAGTTCTGGTAGCAGCCGCTCCTATTAAACATTAGCCTTGAAATGGATTTTGTTTTTGTTATAATAAGGTGTTGATCACAATATGTTCTCTTTGGGAAGAGAGTTTTGTTGATGTTGTTTTTTGCTTCAAATTTGAATATAAAAATATCCGAATCACCAGATTGAATGGATTTTTTGATTTGGATGTCATTTGTGTGTATTTTGGGGTATAGAGTTCCCAGATAAAATATAGGATACCACTTAAATTTGAATTTTAAATAAACAGTAAATAATTTTTTAGTGTTGGTGTTTACCTGAATTTCTATTTGAACTAGATTTTTTTTCTTCTAAATTTGGTATCTTCAGGGCCGAGTTCGGTGTTGACAAAGGGTTTTCCATCTACTATTTTCTGAATTCAGAATTTGAAATTGTGTGTTTAGAACTTCCATTGTTCTGCTTTTACCTTTAATGTAAACAGCTCTTTTTTTAACATTCTTAATTATAGCATTGCCCAAGTGTAATAATCTTGACCATGGGTGGCGCTGTGAGTGCTGGTGAAGACAATGACGAGCTGATAGATAATTTGAAGGAAGCACAGTATATCCGGACTGAGCTGGTGGAGCAGGCTTTCCGAGCTATTGATCGTGCAGATTATTATCTTGAAGAATTTAAAGAAAATGCTTATAAAGATTTGGCGTGGAAACATGGAAACATTCACCTCTCGGCCCCGTGCATCTACTCAGAGGTGATGGAAGCCCTGGATCTTCAGCCTGGACTCTCATTTCTGAACTTAGGCAGTGGGACCGGGTACCTCAGCTCTATGGTGGGCCTCATTCTAGGTAAGCCTGGAAGGAGAGTCTGCAAGCTCATCTGTCTCGGTGCAGGAGGTGTCACCTCTGACAGAAAATATAGTCTGCTATGGCCTGCTCCAATAGAGAACATGGCCTTCCCAGTAGTTACCCGATGTCGACATGTCGCTGGTTGGTGGACAGAGAGAGGGGTGAGGGAGGATGGCCTGCATGCACTCATGGGCCCTGAGTTCTCTGGAAGGACTTCTGTTGCCTGTTCCCTCCACTTGAACCACCACAACCTGTTCTGCACACCTGCCCTCTGGATGATGGAGGACCAAGAGAGTTTTGTAAATTGTAACCTCACTGTGATTTCTTGATTTAATTTAATCACTCAGTCTTCCTTGTCACTCTGTCTCAGCTGAGGATAATTAAGTTTAAAGTCCTTTGGGACTTAAATTTCTTTCAAGCTGTTTTTGTTTTGTTGTTTTAATACTAAAAGAGTAATAACTATAGATTATTTATTTTTAAATGAATTTTAGGGATGAAAGGGATTTCACAGGTTATCTCATTTGAAGTCATTTAGCCCATTTTGCCAAACAAGTTGTGAGGATGCACATGGGAATCCAGCCATTTTTAATATTACTAATAATAGTAGCAAATACTGTTACTGGAATCTTGCTCCATATAAAATACTGCAGTGGGGAAGACGTCTGTTTTTGCCCTGAATGAGGAGGAGTGGTGCTGCCAGAGGAGTGATAGGAGCTGGTATGTGCAGTAAAAGATTGCTCTGAAGAGGAGGCAGGGCCAGGTGGCTGTGGCAAGCCAGGGGAGAGATAGTGGGTGGAGCTGGTGCAGAGGGCCTCCAGTCTGTATTGTTTGATGTTGGAACTGCCAGGATTTGTAGAGGGATAGGATATGGTTGTGAAAGAAACATTAAGAATGTACACAAGGTTTTTGGCTTAATGTTAACCAATTAGTGTCAAATTCTGAATATTAAGATTTCAAGTTGTGATGACTTATATGTCATGTAAACATGCATTGGCATGTACATCATAGCATTGTTCTTTTGTAGTTGTTAATGTCACTTTGAAAAACTTAGAAAATCCTGACAGTAACAATTGATTTTTGTGGCTATGGAATAAGAACTTTGTTTTCTTTGTAAGTTTGTATACTTTGGACTTTGGTGAAGTTTTGAGACTGTGGTTATTTAGCTTTAGGCTGTAGGTTGGTGCCATCAAATGAGAAAATGTGTAGGTTTTTATAATGCTTTTTTGGCCTTAATTTGCCTTGGATTGAGACTATTGTGGTCCCCATACTTTGAGAAGAGAGCACTGTGCCCAGATTATTTTCCATTTTTTGAATTTGGGAATTGTAGTTTCCTCCATTGTTGCTGAGAAATTGGACCTACAGCCAAGGTTGTATCTGAGGGGAAATAGGTTATCCAACTGACCAGATTAGAAATGTTATTGAAAAGGGGGTGGTGAAAGTGCTTAGGGAAGATGAATTAAAGTAAGCCTGAAGTGGCCTGATGCTTGAGGACTCGTAGAAGTGATAAAGAAAGGCCTTCCAGTGTGCTCCTCTTTTCTAAGTCCCCTGTTTACTGGGAGTTTCATTGGCTGTTGAGATAAGAGAGGTCTGAAGGGAGAAAAGCCCTGTTTTCTGCAGTAGTGGATGTAACATGCTGCTGTGATATGTTTGAGGAAGTTACTTCAGGGTTTGCGCTCATGGATGCATGTCTTGGTGGGACCTTGACCTCCGTGCCCAGATATTCCAGAGTATTCAGCCTTAATGCCTCTTTGCACCCATGATTCCACAGAGAAACCTCGCTGCCTGCCATGCCTACGAATATGAGGTCTGAAGTCTTTCATGTAGTCTTTCATGTGACAGAGTTCTTACTGTGACCCCATGACTTTTCACCTGGTCTAAAATGCCTGTGGGTCAGCCATATGCCTCTCCTTGTTCTGTGGACGCTTCTCCACTTTGCTCAGGACTGTCCTTTCCTTGTTTCTTGTCAACCAGGGGAGGAGATAGTAGCTGCTTCAGAGGTGGTGGGTCACAAGGAACCTGCCTTAGAGTGCTGTGTGGCAGGGAGTGGCATGTGTGCGGTATCTGCCTGGCCGGGGCCTCTCAGGTCCAGCTTCAGTGCCATGTCTCAGTTTGAAAGTGAGGGTGAGGGGTTCACAAAACATGAATGGAAGAAAACAAGCAGCTTTTCTTGGACTCTGGCACAGTGCTTCCATGTCAGAGTGATGGGAGCTGGAGTCAGTGAGTTGGCAGAAGGTCTTGAAATTCGGGATAATTTAGGGTTTGATGTGGTAAATAGTGAAAATAGGTCCTCTCAGTGAATGTTCTAGCAGCAGCTCTGTGCACGAGAGACAAGAGAAAAGAGCAGCAGATACAGGGAAACCTTGGCCTGGGTAGTGGCTGTTGTACTAGGAAGGGACCAGCTGCACCCACGTGGCACAATGCACAAGTGTGGGATGCACAGAAGGTTGCTTATTTACCGGTATTTTGCTTGGGTTATAGGGTTGAGTGCTGCTCTGTGGCTGTGGTACATATGCCTACTAAATCTACTCTATGTGCTCTGTTGAATTTAAATGCAGATTTTAAAAACTGAGGTGTAAGTTGAGTATAGTAAATGGCGAAATGTGAACCTTGGTAAATTTTTACATATGCATCCACCTCCATAAGCAGGGTAGAATCAGCACCCCAGAAGGCTCTCATGTTCCCTGCCTCTTCAAGATAGGTGGCCACTCTTTTACCCTCTATCAGCATAGATAAGTTTTTCCTGACTTTTACCTTCATACAAATGGATTCCTACAACACGGAGATTCATCTAAGCTGAGTATAGGTAGTGTGTTCTCTGCTCACCCAACTTTAAGAGGCAGTTTTATACAGAGGGAACACATTTATCATTAAGTGGACACGTAACATTTCTCGCAGTTTGATTTCAAATTACTGATACATTTCATTTAATATAAAAATGTTTCATTGTGATTTGGAATCATAACTTTATTTTCATGATGATGAAAACCTATGTGTTTTGTGAGGATCATTAAAATGCCCAAATCTGAGTATTTTGGGGGACCTTTCAGGGAAAAAGAGTCACTTAAGTGCTGCTTCTGGACAAACAGGCGAGGACTATGTCAGCTTCACTTTCAAATACATGTTCCTTCCGTAATTTATTAATAAGACCTGAACTCTTTCCAGTTTCAAGTGATTTTTTAAAAGTTTGAGAGCAGAGAAACCCAGGTATCAAAACAAGTATGTATGATGTGGTGAGCAGGAATAATGTGATACTATGATGGGAATTCAAAACTTTATGAATTTCTGTAATTATACAGGCTGAATAAGGTGTGTTGTAATTGACAAAATAGAAGTAAACAAATGAGCCAGAGTTCTTGCCCTAGTTCTACAAGTTTTCTTGTTCTCGAACCTTTTAGGTCCTTTTGGTGTAAACCATGGGGTGGAACTTCATTCAGATGTGATAGAGTATGCAAAGCAGAAGCTGGACTTCTTCATCAGAACAAGCGACAGCTTTGACAAGTATGATCAGATGCTATTCATTGGGTTGGAGGGTGTGAATTATAATGTGACACACTTTTGATCATGTAGAAAGAAATTAGTTTATTCGTGTTCATATGCCAGCAAAACATGTTTAACTGTGGTAGTATGCTCCTATGTGTCTGTTCTAATATTCTTTTAATATTCTGTGTTGTTTTTTTTTTTTTTTGAGTTGGAGTCTCACTCTGTCGCCCAGACTGGAGTGCAGTGGCCGCTCCCGGCCACCGCAGCCTCGACCTGCTGGGCTCCGGTGATCCTTCCGCCTCAGCCTTCCAAGTAGCCGGAATTACAGGCATGCGCTACCACGCCCGGCTGATTTTTTGATTTATTGTAGAGATGAGGTCTTGCTGCCCAGGCGGGTCTCGAACCCGCGGGCTCAGGCAATCCACTCACCTCAGCCTCCCAAAGGCGCGGGATTACAGGCTGAGCCACCGAGCCTGGCTGTATTCTGTGTTTTTAAGGGCTTTAGGTTTTTGTAACTATCATACCTACATAAAGATAATTTCTCACCAATATAATAAGAGAAGAAAACAAAACATTCATTTCCCTCAATTTTCATATTTCTGTTAAAGACAACTTTTTATCACCTAATTGTTTCTAAAATAAAATTGTGGCATTTATCTCCAAACAATATATATAATTAGCTCTTGCCATTTTTAAATGCGGCATTAAGGTTTTTATTTTAAAGATGAATATTTTTAGAAAAAGCAAACATTTTCCTTCATCACTGTGAAGTACATCTTGAATAAGATGATGGAAACTACAAAGACGATGATAATTGGAGATGTATTACATTTGGATCATACTTTTGGTACTCACTTTCATGCTATTTTGTTTGTCATTTTAGGGTTCTGTTTATATAGTGTAATTCTTTTTGGAAGTATGGCTTCTAGCTCTTGGTTCTGTAAACCATATTACATTGCTGTGGCGTTGTATAATGAATATAGCCTGTGGTTAGCGTAGATTTGCTGTATTGACTTGTTGCAATATGCTACCTTTCACTACAGAAAACATTTTTTTTTTACTTCCAGGTTTGACTTCTGTGAGCCTTCTTTTGTCACTGGCAATTGCCTGGAGATTTCTCCAGACTGTTCTCAGTATGATCGTGTGTACTGTGGGGCTGGTGTACAGAAAGAACATGAAGAGTACATGAAGAATCTCCTCAAAGTAGGAGGGATCCTTGTCATGCCGCTAGAGGAGAAGGTCAGATTCCTTTCATAACTGACTTTTTTTTTCTTTTTTCTTTTTTGAGACAGGGTCTCACTGTCACCCAGGCTGGAGTGCGTGTGATGCCAGCTCACTGCAACCTTGACCTCCTTGGCTTAAGTGATCCTCCCATCTCCCTCCTAGCGTCTCAAGTAGCTGAGACTGCAGGCGCATGCCACCACACCCGGCTATTTTTTTTTTTTTTTGTAGAGATGAGGTCTCACTATATCATCCAGGCTGGTTTCGAACTCCTGGGCTCCAGTGAGCCTCCTGCCTCAGTCCTCTCAAAGTGCCAGGATTACAGGTGTGAGCCACCATGCCCAGCTATAACTGACATTCTTGTGCAATATTTGCCAAGATCTGTTTCAGGCAGTATACATATACTTAACCTTTTAACAACTTCCTCCGTTTCACAAATTAGGAAACAGAGGCAGAGACAGGTGAGGGACCTTGCCAGGTCATAAGATACCCTAGGTGGGGCCAGAACCTGACTCAGGTAGGTACCACAGAGCCTCACTTGAGTCCCTTTCCTCCATTTCCCTTTTCTCTGTCTTTCCTCCACTTTTTCTTTCCCTCTTCCTTTTCCCTCTCCCCTTCCCTTTCCTTTCTCCTGTCTTCTTCCTCCTCTTTTCCCAGTCTGCCTCCCAGCTATTCTGATTTTAACTCTGTTATTCTATTATAATTGTTCTTATTAGAGTTACTGTGTATTAAATTATTAGAGTAATTCTATTTTAATTATTAGTGTAATTGTTAAAAACCTTGATGGTGAGTATTTTATAGGAGTCCCCTTTGTGGGAATCTTGTTCATATTTACCATTTGGTCATTTATGTTTGTCTTTGTTTTAGATACTGTGTTTCACTGGGAAAAACAGGTTATAATCAATGAGGATATTATCAGAGATGAATTGGTCACCAGGAAGACTATCTCTCAGTCACAAATAACTAAGAAGAACACAAATGATAAAAATTAGGAGATTTGTCAATTTTTAAATATTAGCCTTTGTAGTATTCAAAAAATAATACTCATTTTAGAAAATCTACAAGTTATGAGCATTAAGAAAAACTTATGGCTAGGCACAGTGGCTCACACTTGTAATCCTAGCACTTTGGGAGGCCAAGGCAGGAGGATTGCTTGAGCCCAGGCATTTGAAACCAGCTTAGGCAACATAGCGAGACCCTGGTTCTACCAAAAATAAAAACAAATTAACTGGACTTGGTGGCATGTGCCTGTAGTCCCCCCTACTGGGGAGGCTGAAGCAGAAGGATCGCCAGAGCCCAGGAGGTTGAGGCTGTGGTGAACCACGATCATACCACTGCACTCCAGCCTGCGCAACAGTGTGAGACCCCGATTCTAGATAGATAGATAATTTGTACCCTAATAGCAGTTAGTGTGTGATGCTTTTTCAAAAGGTTCTTTTACATACTGGTGTATAGCTTATATTGTCTTACTTAAAAGAGTTCATGAATATAATTTTAAGTCATTTAATGTCCTGCTCATCATTTCTGTGTGTACATAGTAGCTTGTTGAATTGTTAACTAAGTTTATTAACTAGCTTTTTTCATCAGGCATTAGGCTGTAGATAGTATTTCACTGGTACTTACTGTTATGTAAAGACTTTAGTGAATATTCCTAATTTTTAAAAATTTCATCCATATATGTTTCATTATGTATCTATAAAAGATAGGGGCACTTTTTAAAAAACATCCTTATGAAACCACTGCCACCCTATAAAAATTAATAGTAATTTGTGAATATCTTCAGATATCCAATTTGTGTTCGGATTTTCCTTATTGTCTCAAAAATTTGTTTGATTTGAGGTTCCCATTTAAGGTTAATATATTGCATTTGGTTGATCTAGTTCTTGAGTGTTTTTAATCTGTAGGTTCTCCTTCCTTTCCTTCCTTTCACTTTTTCCTTTCACTTTGTTGAAGACATCTGATTTGTCTTATAGAGTGTCTTACAGTCTATAAGTTTGCAGATTACATATCTCTAGTAATGTTTCATATGTTTTTCTGGTGAATTTTTTTTCTTGTTTTTTGGTCATTTTTTTCCTCCTTATATTCCAACTGGGATGTATAATTAAATCACTGTGTTTTAAAATCACTTAAAATAATGCTTCTTTATAAGGCTTTGCCACCAACCTGACACCCAATCAGCTCGTTTGTTTTCTTTGACTTTTTAGGGATTGCCATTTTAGGTTTATTTTGTTTTATAACTTTGTGAAATATTCACAAGTTTCCAAAGTCTAAATAGGAACTCAGAATTTTTAGTTATATACATATATATATAGAATTGTATCTCCAGGTACAGTCTCAAAAGCAGAAGTGCTTGGTCAAAGACTCTGTATTTTATTTTATTTTTAAAAAAATTTTATTTGATTTTAAAGATGTGGGGTACAATTCGGGATTAGATATACAAGTGGTCATTGTACAGGTAAAGTTTGTACTTCCCTTTGGTTCTACTACACCTGGTTTGAGATCAGGTACCCTTAATGATGTTGTGTGTCCCCCTTCCCTGGCAGTTTTCCACTATTGTCAATCCCTTTCTTATAGTATTATGATAAATTTTCAGGGTCTGCTTATGAGTGAAAGTATGTGATACTCAGTTCTTTGTTTCTGTGATAGATCATTGAGTATTATAGACTTTAAACCTATCCAAGCTGCTGTGAGGTCCATAATTTTGTCCTTTTTAATGGCTGCATAATATTCCATCATGTATATATACCACATTCTTTTTATCCATTCCACTTTCAGTGGGCAGCACGGTTAGTTCCATGTTTTTGCTATTATGAATAATGCTGCAATAAATGTGTGTGCAGGTATCTTTTTTATAGAATGAATTCCTCTGGGTATATTCCCAGAAGGGGGATTGTTGGGTCATATGGAGGGTGGATTTTTAGATTTTTTAGGAATTGCCACACTGTTTTCCACAGAGGTGGTACTAGTTTATACTCCCACGAACAGTGTAGAAGATACTCCCACTAACAGTGTAGAAGTGCTCCCTTTCCCCACATCCTTTCCAGCATCTGTTGTTTTTTGAGTTATTGATGATGACTATCCTGTCATAAGAGATAAGAGACAGGTGGGATCTCATCAAACTGAAATGCTTCTGCAAAGCAAAAGAAACCATCAAGAGAGTGGGGAGACAGCTAACAGAACTGAAAAAAACATTTGCCAACTGCGTATTTGACAAAGGCCTAACATCCAGGATCTATAAGGAACTCAAATGTGCTGAAAATAAAAAATCAAACAGCTGCATTAACAAGTGGGCAAAAGACATGAATAGACACTTCTTAACAGAAGACATAAGCACAGCCAACAGATATGTGAAAAAATGCTCAGCCTCACTGCTCATCAAAGAAATGCAAATTAAGACTGCATTTTAAAACTCTTGCCAGTTGTCCTTTCAAAGGCAATATTGTCAGCAGCATGAGCAAGGAGCTGGTTGGTGCTCTTGCTACCTGCTGCCTGTGTGATTCCTATTGTTGCATGTAAAGGCATGGCTGACACACCTTCTTTTCTCTTCCTCCTCAGAATTTTTTTCTAGATGTAGGTCTTGTTCTGTCACCCAAGCTGGAGTATGGTGGTGCAGTCATAGCTCACTGCAGCCTGGAAGTCCTGGGCTCAAGCAATCTTCTCACTTCTCAGCCTCCCAAGTAGCTGGGACTATAGGCACATGCCACTATGTCTGGCTAATTTTTTAAATTATCTTTAGAGACAAGGTCTTGCTCTGTTGCCCAGGCTGGTCTCAAACTCCTAGCTTCCGGCAATCCTCCAACCTTGGCCTGCCAAAGTGCTAGGGTTGCAGGCAATAGCCATCATGTCCAATAGAAGATTGTTTTAAATGTCTTTTACAAATGATACTAGAAATGCTTGTTGTAATGCAAAATAATATTGGATTTTGGATTGGAACAATGTTATATCTGGATTAATTTGAGGATTATGGATATTTTTACAATATTTAATCTAGTATATGAAATAGGGGTTTATGATTTTCTTTAAAAAGTTTCATACATCATTTATTAACTATATTGAAATATTTGATCCTCATTGCAACTAGAAATTCTTTTAAGAATGTTTTTGAAAAAATGTTTTTGCTGGTATACAAAAATATGATTAATTTGTTGATGTTTACTTAGTTCATGGCTACTTAATCCTTTTAGTTTTAAGAGTCAAGACATAGAATCTTGGTTTTTAGAGGATTTACTGGCTTAGGTATTTTTAGAAAAGACTAGCACTTAAGTGTAGCATGACAGAGCGGACCAAAAATAGTGCTGTGACCTGTTTAGGCCATCTGGAGACTGGCCCAGCCACACTGAACACACAGAGGGCCGTGTTGTGTAATTGGGTTCTCTGGTGTTCCTAATACATTAATTCAAAGAAAAATGTTTTGATGACCTATTCTGTGGTGTGTTAAACCTCCAATTCCAGTGCTTTCTTGGGGGTGATGTCAGGGTGAAGCTCATATAAACACTTCAGTATTTGTTTCCTAAGAATGAGGATAATTACCTAGGTATCCAGGATGACAGGTTTGCATTTAAGAAAGTCAACAGTGATTCTGAAACAGTATCTGTTACTCAGTGCCCATCAGGAGTCCTCGGTTGTTGCAAAATGTCTTTTTATAGTTATGGGTTCAGTATAGGTTGGAGCATTGCAGTTGATTGTTGTGTCTTCAATTATTTTACTTTAGAACTGCTTCCCACCAACTATTCCTTCTCGACTTTGATTTTTTTGGAGAACCCAATAGTCCGAGAGTGTTGTCTTATAAGAATTCCCACATTCCTTATCTACTTGCTTCCTTTTGCTATTGTTTAACTACTTTCTCTACCATGTATCTCCTGTAAACAGAAGTTAGGTCTAGAACTTGAATATGTTCAGGCTAATCATTTTTGCAAGAGTATTCATGAGTTAGATGTGCTTCGTGGCTTATCAGATTCAGTTTCATATGACAGGATAGTTCATTTTAGTTTATCTGTGTATTTTTCTGTTATGTATTGGAATGATTATATTTAAATATAAGCTATTCAGGCAGGGTAAGGTGGCTCACTCCTGTAATCCCAGCACTTTGGGAGTTCAAGGTGGGCGGATTGCTTGAGCCCAGGAGTTGGGGACCAACCTGGGTAATATAGTGAGACCACATCTCTACAAAAAAGTCAAAAAATTAGCCAGGCGTGGTGGTGTTTGCATCTAGTCCCAGATACTCAGGTTGCTGAGGTGGAGGGATTGCCTAAATCCAGGGGGTCAAGGCTGCCATGAGTAGTGATCGCCGTGATCATGCCACTGCTTTCGGGCCTGGATGACAGAGTGAGACCCTGACTTAAATGAATGAATAAATAAATATGCTACTCAGTAACTAAACCTTTGAATATTCTCATTTTGTCTTTGGGATAGTTGACTAAGATAACACGCACAGGTCCTTCAGCTTGGGAAACCAAAAAAATTCTGGCTGTTTCTTTTGCTCCTTTGATCCAGCCCTGCCATTCAGAGTCAGGAAAATCAAGACTTGTTCAGCTACGTAAGTACACTGATCTTTACTTTTTAAAACCTTTTTAGCCTCATTGGAATTTGAAAGAGAGCAAACTTTACAAAGGAACCTCTTGATATTAAAGAGCATCCTCCTGTCCTGCAGAAACTTTAAAATTCTACAATCAATTTAAAACATTTAAAAAAACTATATTTTTAGCTTGTCTTAGGTTATTTTAGCCTCTTTTAGATAACTGTTGCTGGTCATGCCTGAAAGAGGACTCATGTAAAAGGGAGTGAACTTTTCCCTGTGGGGGACGAAGGCTATTTGCTTCTTCAACTGGGACGGGTCTTTCCAAGAGAGCCATGATGCAGAGTGTGCCTGCAGTCAATGGGCTGTCTGTCCCCAGCACCTCGTGCCTGCTGCTGCCATGTGGGAGGATGAAGGTGGAGAACACATTTCAACCGTCTCCTGGAATGCGACGGGGCTTGTCTTGCGGAGCCTTACACAGCTGAGCCTTTGCGTTTTACTGTTTGGAGATGTAGACTGAACCAGGAGCCGACACCAGGGCAGCATGCATCCTAATGTATAATTCCAATTTAATTTATGTAAAATAAAACTATTCAGCATGCTCTCTGATCATTTATAAATTTTGGAAAATGCAAAAAAAGGGAGAAAAATATACATAGTCCCACCACCAAAAGACAATGCATTTTGGCAAATACCTTCCAGAACTTTTTTTTTTAATTGATGAGAAGTCATTTATCAAATTGTTATATACTTTGCTTTGGTCTCTGCTAAGTGCAGGTCCTAAGAAATAGACACAGTTCTTGAATTCGATTATGAACAATAATGGGGTATTGGCTTAGAGGAATTAGGGAAGGTTTGAGAGAGAATGATGTCTGTCCTGGTCTTCAAGGGTGAAAAGCAGTCCTTGAAGAGAGAAGAAAGGGGAGAAAAGTGTCAGCAGAGGCAAGGCAAAATTCAAAATGCACGTTCTCCTGTGTGGTTAGAGTTGGGGCGTGTGGCAGAAACTAGACTGGTATGTAGGTTAGAATGGTGTTTGCCCTGTAGGCTGTGGAAAACTATCAGATGTTTTAAATAAAAGATGCAGCACCTCTGTGTCCTGGATAACCCTGGTGGTCAGGTGGAGGGTGAATTTGTCAAACACATGTTCCCTGGAAGTCTCACCAGAATAACCTCTTCATACAAATGCTGCTCTTGGTAAGGTAGGGCACCAGCTGCAGAGCCTGGGAAGGCGAGGGCACCATTAGGGTATTTATGAGACTTTTTGAGAATCTGTGTGAAAATGAGTCTTTCCTGTGAGGGCTTGATCAGCCTGGAGAAGAATTATGGTGATATGGTGGGCACTTCAAGATGCCTGTTTTGAGACAAGGGCTTCAAAGAGAGGGATGGATGAAAACACGAATGTGATGCCATTTAGAGTCCCTGAAGTGAACAGTCAGGTTATTTGCGACTTTTATCTTGCTGCTCCAGAGTTTCCTAGACTTGTAAAGTTGTGTTAATGAAGATGATAGAGTAGAAAATCCTATGAGTGTGAATGTGTGCATTGTGGGGTGGATGGGTGAGCTCTCAAATCAAATGGAGGCGGAACCAGTTAGGAAGTTGTTGGAATTTTCCAGGCAAGAGTTAAAGGTTGAAACAAAGATCTTAGCCTCTATGGTGGAAGGAATTTGGGGACACATCGTGGCTTTTCTGAGGAAGGACATATGAGTCTGAGTTGTCCATTGTCTGTCATAGAAGTGGGTCTGTGGGAGGCTCCAGGACTCTGGTCAGGACTGGATTGGGACCTTAGGAAAGTTGGCTGGCCCTGTTATTTAAAGCCACAGAATGGGTGTAAAACCAAGGATCCGCAGGCATACTGAGAGAGGGAAATGATAAAAACTGGAGTCTTAGGGAGCACCATTAGGTTGGTGGAAGAGGCCTGCAAGAGAGATGAACAGCAGAAGTGAGAAGTGGCTGCTGTGCCCTGGGCTAGGAGAACAGGGAGCTGAGTTCTCCCAAGCAGGCACCTTGTAGAGCTGGAGTGGTCAGAGCTGGCAGGTATGAGTCTGACAGCCTAGGAAGAAGTTGTTTTGGCATCTTGGGGGCAACAGCCAGATTCTAGTGGCTCTGGAAATAATCTTTCTGGAAGTGAAGTGATGAGGGAAGGAAAGATGGTGGCACTTCAGGAAGCCAGGTTCTAGATGGGACAAGAGACATGATTGTGGTGCTCAGGGGAGGGGCAGGATTGAAGAAGGAACTGCGGGGTCCCACCCTGGGGAAGGGAGAAGGGACCCCTTGTCTCCAAAGCTGGAGAGAGAGGCTGGTGTCAGTCCTGGAGGGAGAAGGTCCTCAATCATGGCCAGGAGCCTGGGCTGTCTCAGACAGTGGAGATGGTGGGATTCTGTGAAGGCTTCTCTGGCTTTGGTAATAGACATGGTGGCCAACACTGGAGCCCTTTCCTATCATGCAGACCGTTGTTCTTTGTGGAAGTTGGGTACTGGTGGGAAACAGTGATCCTGGTTTTCAGTTTAAAAGCTATGTGTGTATTGCCTCCATTAAATTGTGAGATTTAATTTAATTGCCAAATGTTTTTATCCTTGGTGTGCTCTGGAGTTTTTTATTTTTCTTAAAAATGTTTGGATTTGCATTTCTCTACTTTAGCTAAAAAAAAAAAAAGGAACAGGGAAGCTGAGGCAGGAGGATCACTTGAGGCCAGGAGTTTGAGACGAGCCTTGGCAACATAGTGAGACCCCATGTCTACAAAACAGAAAATGTTAGCTGGGTGTAGCAGTATGCATTTCTAGTCCTAGCTACTCAGGAGGCTGAGGTAGGAGGACACCTGCAGGAGCCTAGTAAGTCGAGGCTGCAGTGAGCGATGGTCATACCACTGCACTTCAGCCTGAGTGACAGAATGAGAGACTGTCTTGAAAAGAAAAGAAAAGAAATATATTCAATTTGTAAATAACTATGAAAATATTACAATAGATAAAAACATTGGAGATGTACTCACTGTTACTACTAGGTGAGTATTAATACATGAATGAATACCATAGAGTAATGAAACTAGGCTGTCAAAGAACCAAACTGTAACCCAGGTTTTAATTCTGCCACTGAGTAATTAGCCAAGCTATATTGCTTACTTTTCAACGTTAAGAATTAGTGCATTTGAAAATGTCTTTTGAAAAGTACCATATGAATGCAAATTAGAGCACTAATTGACATCTGCTTGGAATGCTCTCATATTCTTGTAACATATTTGTAAATTTGCCACTGAATTCAGCTGATGCTAGGATTCTTAGATGTTTGGGCTTTGTGGTGTTGTCAGTCAGACAAGTCTGACTATGTCTCATTCCTTGCACTCCAGCACCAGTGGCAGTTCGCAGCCTCCAGGACTTGGCTCGCATTGCCATCCGGGGCACCATTAAAAAGATCATTCATCAGGAAGCAGTGAGCAAAAACGGAAACGGACTAAAGAACACCCCCAGGTTTAAACGAAGGAGAGTTCGCCGCCGTCGAATGGAAACGATTGTCTTTTTGGACAAAGAGGTCTTTGCCAGTCGGATTTCCAACCCTTCCGATGACAACAGCTGTGAAGACTTGGAAGAGGAGCGGCGGGAAGAAGAAGAGAAGACCCCACCTGAAACAAAGCCAGACCCCCCAGTGAACTTCCTGCGCCAGAAGGTCCTGAGCCTGCCTCTGCCAGACCCCCTGAAGTACTATTTACTTTATTACAGAGAAAAATAAGTCTCCTGTTAACGGGAAATGAGGAAGAGCGGATGGCAGGGTCTGAAGTGTGTGCCGCCTGTCTGCTTTTGAGGGGGTCTCCTAAAAGACGTCACAGAGAAGGGGCTTGCTGTGCTTGTCCACGTCGTAGTTTTCTTTTTCTGGTTCTTGATTGTCCTCTAAAATGTGGATTCAGTGGTATGATTTCTTTACATAATCCAACAAGACCTACACTGCACAGAATAATGTTTTCCCAAAGTGGTGAGAATCTTAAGAGAAGGATGTTTCTTTTTCAGCTCTGATGAAACACTGAAGTGTGCATAGCAGAGACTGTTTGACAACTATTCCTCACACAAGATACACATGTTGCGCATTCAAAATGAAAACTGAAGTTGAAACTAACTTGTTATAAAATGTGAAACAAAGCACAAGTTTGCAAATGTTTAAAATCCTCTCTGAGTGTGACACACCAGTGTCCAGGTATGAATTTTTATATTAACCTCTTCATTACTGATACTGAGTTTCACTTAACTTTTTAGTTTTCTAGAGAGGGAAACATTATTGAGAGGCTGCCCTTATTTTAAGTAAATTAATTCAATCTTATGCGAGTTGTCAATTATAATTTTTAAAAGGAGAATTTTTCATGGGGGAGGAGGAATAAAAGGTCAGCTGCCAGATATCTTTCTTGAATTCCAAAAGAATTCTAAGGAGGTGTTTTTCTGATACCTTTAGTATCCTTTAAAAGAACCACTGTTGATCCCTAAAAGAATATCCTGAAAAAATGAAACAAGTTTTTTTTGTGTGTGTGAAATTAATAAGGTGTATTACCTTTACCCTAACCATAGGGATGGTCATTTACCCAACTTTAAAGACCATAATGGTTTTCCAAGGTGTTGACACACTCAATTCTCAGAACAGGTAAAAAGTATTAGGACTGCAAGAAATAGACTGGGGACTATATCATAGACAGCCTGTGCTTTTTGGCTTCTGTTTGCTATTTTTCTGTAATCACATTAGAGTACTGATTCATAGATTTTATCTTTTATAGTTCTGAAAAAAAAAGAGATTTGTTAGTTTTGTAATTTTTCTTACAGACAAATACATGGATTTTAGTAGCTCCATTGCAGGAGAACAGTGTAACTCACAGTGTCATAGGAAGTCAATCTTCTTCAGGCCATGTGTCCAGTGCTTTCCGTCTTAATGTTCAGAAGGCTAGAAGAAAAGCAGCTTTTCTAGTAGTCACATGGCAGAATGGTCTTAGTTACATTGCTTATTCCAAAATATTGGTTCTTTTTAAAACTTTTTTTTACCCAAAGATAAGAGTAGTGTAAATTGTTAACAATATATCTAAATTCAGAATGTTGGTGTAGGATTAAGTATCCAGATTTTCTTACTAATTTTAACCTCTTGGGAGTTGCTGGGCTTCAGTGTCTCTCTGAGCCTGAATTCTGGTTATTTTTGGATCTTTTCTGCCTTTTAAAATAACTGAATTATTTTTACCATACAATACATCTGCATGCCCAGCTGGGAAAATATGTATATTGCTCTAGACTGATAAACTTAAGCTGTTTTAAAGAAAGTTAGTTCATAGTCGTTGCCTTTTAACTGTTTCATTCTATCACAGAGAAATGCATGATTTAATTTTACTTGCTAATACTTTGTAGTTTGCAGGTCCTTGTTGACATTATTCTAATTGATATGTGGAGACTTCTACGTTACATGGAAATTTTTGGACATAATAGTAAATGAATATGTGAAATTTAAATGTGTTATTTTAGGTGGCTTGACTAAATTTTTTTCTATAATTGTGTATGGACTGAATTTTTTTTACAACCACATTTGCCTTTATGCTAAATTGTAAAAATCATTATAGTGCATAAGACATGTTTTCCCCCCTTATATGTTAAAATTTTCCTAGCATTTTGTATTTATATGTTGTCAGTTTGTGATTTTTAAACCAGAATTTGGTCAAAACATATGGTTGTAATATATGGGAGAAATAATTTGGTGTTTATCTTATAAGGGAGAATTGTGAATAAGCTTTCCTTTGCACCTTACACCAGAATTCAGTATAATGCACTACTTTCTGTTTTAAAACAGGCAAATCATAATATAGTCTGTATTATCTGCAAGATCTATATTGTAAACCACATTCTTGACAACTGTTTATTTTTGTTTTGAATAGTCTGTTCTAATATATGAATTTTGTCTTGAAAAGTAGCAAAGCCATAGACTTGTGCAAAACATATTTCAAATTTATAGATTTAAAGTATGTAATGCAAAAACTCAAATGTGTATGTAAAAATACTTTTACCCATCTGGAACTTACTGGGGAAAAAGCCAAGAAATTTGAAACATGAATTTCAATGAGATGATGTATGTGGGTAAACACAGATGAGATCAATAAAGGTAGTTAAGACATTCAACCTTGGCACTGCTTCTCTGTCCTAGGTGGGATTACGATTCTTGAATAGATTCTTTTCAAAATCTTAAAAGCATTTTTTTCTTTATTGATATTATGTGTTTACTTTCACTAGATATTTGTATCGTTCGTTGCTTAATTCTGTATCATAGTAGATGTGAGGGAAGGCACTATTTTTCATTAATATGTCTGAAACTGGAATGGAAAAATGGAAAAGTGACTGGCTCCAAGTACACAATAGAATAGAATTTTGAAGATTGTGGTTAATGTTTTTGGCAGTTTCCCCCTACTTTGAGAATGTTAAGTGTGCCTTCTAGGATGATTTGATAATGGCACTGTTTTAAGGAGCAGAAAAGTATTTTGATATTTGTTCAGTTAGTTTGATTCTTATATAAAAGCTTAAACGTATGTTACATGGAAGCTATATGCCAGGGTTGAAGATGAAATCTGTGATTTCAAAAATGCAAAGAATTGGTGAACAAAACTGATTGAAGGATGTGAACTTGAGAGCCAACCAAGGAGGCTGAATGATGTAACAGAAATGGACATCAAGTAGGGAGCTCCAAGAATCAGCACCTCCACTGAGGCAACAGTTAAGGTACTAAAGACAAAATCAGTTTTTTTGAAGATATTTGGAATCCAATACATGGACAGCATGCTGACGAAAGCTTTAAGGAGAAAAATCTAGCCGGGCATGGTGGCTCACCCCTGTAACCCCAGCGCTTTGGAATTGCCTGAGTCTAGGGGTTTGAGACCAGCCTGGACAGCTTGGTAAGACAGTAACTCAAAAATTAGCCAGGCTTGGTGGTATGCACCTGCACTTCCAACTACTTGGGAGGCTGATGCGGAAGGTTGAGTAGGTTGAGACTGCAGTGGCCGTGAGTGTGCCACTGTGCTCCAGCTTGGGCGACAGAGACTCCTACTCAAAAAAAGAAAAAAAAGAAATCTCTTATAGAAAGAAAGCATGTGGTCTTTTTGCTTTTGTGTTTGGGATTGCCATATCCCTTGGAGCTGCACTGTAAAGGTAGGGTAGGAGATCAGCTTTGGGTGGAGGTGGAACCATCATCCCCAGAACTCACATATCTACTCCCATGGGTTTGTTTCAGTGCTTTCTGTTGCAGGTCTTGTATTTCCTTTCTCAACTTCTTTGTTTTGTTCGTGAGTATCTTCAAACAACTTTGCATGAAAGGGCACCTTCTAGAGAAAATTTATGAATTCTTTTATGCTCTAAAAATGTCTTTAATCTGCCCTCACATTTGATTAACAATTTGGCAGGGACAGAATTCTGAGTTAAAAATATTTTCTGCCTTAGAAATTTGAAGGCACCTTATCATTTTGATATAGCTATCGTTGTTTAGTCAGATGTTATTCTGACGTTTATTCCTTTGCAGATAACCTATTTCTCCTTTCTTGGAGATTTTATGTGTGTTTGTTTTTTGTCTTATGCTCTGAAATTTCACACTGATAGTCCCAGGTATGGGTCTTTTACAAGACTAGTGCTCTAACATCTGAGCTTTTTGTAATATTTTTTGATAGTGTCTTTGATAAGTGCCTCCCTCCATGTTTTCAGTTTCTTATTCTGAGCACAAATGTTATTTGGATATTGAAACTCTGGGACCGATCTCCCCAAGAGCTTACTTTTATCTTGTGTTTTCTTTTTAGTTGTATGTGGTTTGGGGGCTAGTTCTTACATTCTGTATTTCATTTTTAAAAAATTTTGACAGAATTTCAAGCTCTCTTTACTGGTTTCTGAATTTTCTTTCCTTCATCGATTGTTACTTTCTATGGATGCAATATTGTATACTTTCTTGAGGATTCTTATTAGCATTGTAAAAACGTATTTTGTTGTTTGAAGGCAGGACTTTTGGGACTGCGGATTTGGACCCTTTTCTGTGTAGAGAAGGATTTGGGGCCAGAAAGAAGGGACCTGGGGACCTGTTCCTCCTCTACAGGTGACTTACCAGCTTTATCATACCGGTCTTTCATTTTTTGCTGCACCCCCTCCTCCCCTTATTTTTAACCATTGGCAACTCATTTTTACTTGTCTGTAACGACAGATGAAGCTGGAGTGGGGATGGTCACTGGCTGACCTCACACTGGCACAAGGGAAGCTGTTCTTCAAACTAAGGGTCAGCATGAGTGAGGGGGTGATGTTCTCTGGTAATCATTGAGCTTCCTTGCTCTGTCTGCAGAAATCCCTGTCTCTTAGTTTCCTGCTGTTGCCTGGGTATTTTGTATATGACTCTCTCTCTTGTCCTATACCCCAGCTCCCTGTCAGATCCCCATTGCCATAGGACTGTACTTGTATCCGAGTCTGCACAACTATGGACATTGTGCTTATAACTTTCCATTTCTCTTTCTTTTGGAGAGAGAAGATATAACCTATTCCTCTACTATATTGGAACAAGAATGTCCCAAATTAGCACTTTATTTGCTCTACCTCAGAGTGTCCTTAAAGTTCTGCATGAAAGAAGAAATAGCAGAAAGCAGAATTAGAGTCATATGCCAAATGGTCAGGAAGGCCATTTGACTTAAGATGGTCCTGGGCCTAGCTGCTCTGGTGGTCAGGAGGGAGGACAGCGTGAGCCTCTACCCCAGGCCTATTCTGAGTTCAGGGCTGTCTCAATGCTCCATATCCCCTGCCAGACTGGCTCACCCCAGAATCAGGGCAGCAGCCATGACTGTTTTGCCTGGGGTTGCTACAGGGGGGCACCCCTTGGCCCTCCCAGGAAACATGTAGCACTTTGGGCCCATCCCATCCTTGGCCTGTGGCCTTTCCTGCTTCCAGCAGGGTTCAGAGACCCAGCGAAGACATACCTTGTGGGTAGCTGGTCACAGTCAGAGACATGGGCTTTGTGAGGACCTCTGGGACATTTTCTATCTTCTGGGCTCCTTCTTATCCTCGGTAGGCAATGGTCTCAGTCCTGGAAGTTCTAGAACCCTGACTCAGCCAACTGCATCATGTCCATTTTGGGGAAAATAAGCTTAAGTCTCTGAAACTGACTCTTGGCCTGGACCTATTGAGAAGGTCCAGGCCAAGGATGGGGCATCTATGCAGTTGTCAGAGATCCTGTCTGGATGGAGACTGGAGAGTCGTCATCATGTCCTCCACTCAGTGCCTGTGGGGAGGGGCATCCGCCCTTAGTGTCCTACCCACAGGCCCCCTTTCCCCTCTCCTCTTTCTGGCTTTATCCCTGGCCTCTCTGAAATGAGGGATGTGACCCCACAGCCTGTTCTGCCCTCACCCCCTTAAAGGGCCAGCTTGGGTTTCGTGGACAGAGGTGAGACACCATGGTCAGTTGGTGTGACTTTCTGCGCCTTCCCGAAGCACCTTCCTTACTGAGATTAAAAGGGGCATAATGGCTGTTTCCAAGTGTTGATGACTAGGGGAAGGAGCCAGAGGAGGTGTAAAGTGTAGGGTGTGGGCAGCCCTGGGCTTTGTGGGCTCCAGGGATAGCTGGGCAGATACAGGGAGGTGGAGGCTCGGGGCAGCTCTGGGGACAGTGGGGTAGAGGCTCAGGGACAGCTCTGGGGTGAGGACTAAACTGACCTTTTTTCTTTACCTTGCCACATTCCTAACTAAGGGGCCTGAGGAGGTGGACTTTTTATTAACTCCCTCATATCATGTTTACTTTCCAACATGATTCTGGCATAACATCACAATAGATAAAGAAGTTAAAGTATTTTGTGACCCTATAATGTTCTCTCTTGGGGATTCTGGCACCTTTTAAGACACTTACCTGCTGTCTCTGAAGTCCACCACCTTGAGACTTCAACTGCGTATCAGCCTGGCTCCCTCCTCACCCTCAAGCCACCCAGTTCCTTTACTACTTTCAGAATCTCCAATGATCACTCTTGTACTAATTGCCTATCAGGAAGTCTTTGAATCCACCTATAACCTGAAAGCCCCTGCTTAGAGATGATCTGCTTCCTCAAGTTGAGCCCATGTAAATCTCATATGTTTTGATTTATGTTTTTTTGTAACTTTTGTCCTCTTAAAATGTATATAGCCACGCTATATACATTTAACCATGGAAGGAACATGTTCTTGTGACCTCCTGGGGACAGGTATCACAGGTCTCAGGCACTCACATTTGGCTCAGAATAAGCCTCTTTAAATATTTTACAGTTTGGCTTTTTCATCAGTATTAACTTGATCATCTACAAAGACCTATGAAAGAAAATAATAGCATCTTGAGATCCTAAATCCACTATGTCAAAGGTAAAGTCACCACTCTGTGTCATAGCCTCATTTTCTTTATTCCTTTTTTTCCCCACATGTTTACTTTAGGTTAGTAATTGACTTTTTCCTGTACTGCTCTTGTCATATGTAGAATGTAGACTAACTGATGCTAATCAGAGCTTCAGAGAAACCATCTGCCTCACTGCCTGCCCTCCCTGTCTTCCCCCCCCCAACCTTGCTTGCTCTTTTCCCTTTAAATACTGGAGTCCACAAAACCCCCTTTTGGAAAAAGCATAGATCACAGATACTCCTGTGATTCATGTTTTTTCCCTGGTGCATCCTCAATGTAGGCTGAATAAACCTCTTAATCAATTGAGACACCTACCTCAGTCTCTTTTTGGTTTATAACCCTATTTTCCTATGAGGCCACATTCACAGGTATTGTTGAGGCAGGGTAACTAGCACAGCTTGGAGGTAGATAGATGAGCTTCTTGCAGGCAGGCATAGCTTTTAAAATTTTTAAAAAACCAAGTGGTCTGGAATCCGGTTGAGTGCCATCTTAATAAGACGTAATTCTCTAGAACTGGAGGCACTGGAGGACGGTGTTTTCAGGAAGAAAATCAGTAAAATAGTAACTTTTACTATTATCTTGAGATTTTTACAGGATGCAAGTAAGCTCAGAAGCAGATGATAAGAATAGGAACATATTTGCTGGGCTCGGTGACTCAGCCTGTAATCCCACGCCTTGGGAGGCTGAGGTGAGTGGATTGCCTGAGCCCGCGGGTTCGAGACCCACCTGGACAAGTTGGTGAGACCTCATC